GCCCATAACAATCATTTGAACAAATACAAAGGTCAGGACAGACCACTGAGGCTTATCAACTCATAAATAACTTTTTTTTTTTACAGAAATAACAAAAATAGACAATTCAAAAGATAAAATTGAGGTCATAAAATAAATACATTCAAAATGTTCACTGTAGATATTTTAGGGCTGTGAAATTAATTGAGTTAACTCTGATTAATTTCTTCTTCTTCTTCTTCTTCTTCTTCTTGGTTTTTATTGGCAGTTGGCAACTAACTTTCAGTAGCATTACCGCCACTTACTGGTATGGAGTGTGGTTCGTGATGATCTATATACTTCATACCTAATCCCTATAATATTTCTGATTAAACACACACTCTCACACTCACACCTACTTATATATCTTTACTTTTATATAGCTTATAAATCTCTCTTCATTATTCTTTGCACATTCACACCCATCTTACTCTACTCAGATACTAAGAAATACCTTTGTTTTTTTCAAGAAATCTAATAATTATTTGAATATGTCTACTCCCCAAATCCCTCCTCAAAAAACCTGATAAATTAAACCTTTCTTTAATACCTTCACATTCTCTCAAACCCTGATTAATTTTAGTGCTGCATGGGCATAGATTAAAAATTTTAAGGRGCTGAAGAGCTGCAGGCGTGCAGCTGCACAGCTGCTGAAGATGAGCCCACAGTCCTACAGCAGTTCTTCTTGGTGCCCTCTTGTTGTCTCCTGTGAGAATACACAGTGCAACACACAACACAACTCTGGTTCCCTGACACAGATGTGATTTGAAGTCAGTTTATTTTTGGTTTAAACATAAAAACAGCATTTTAATAACAACTGAAGGTGACATAGTTAMTTTATTATGGTATAGAATTTAAATATATGCCTGAGAAATACGTAATATTGCTCTTTAAAAATAAAATTCAGGGGGCACATGCCCCAGACTCCACTATAGCTACGTTTACATGGACATAAGTCATCGGATTAAACGGCCATTCAGAATAAAAATATGTCATGTAAACAGCCCGTTCTGATTATTCTGATCTGATTCAGCTCAATCCAAATGAATTTGTAATTGGAATGAGAGAGGTGATTTATGCTGATTGATAATCCGAACGACGTGCATGCAAACACTTAATCTGATCATCTTATTCTGATTGTGGAAAACTGACCTGACTGTTCATGTCTTCTGACTTTCATCCAGCGGTTTCTGCTCTTTTGTGGAAGGAGGAGCAGCAGTGYTGTTTCCAGCAGACAGAACTTTTCCTCCTGTCCTCTCATTCAACAAMAAAGGRAGACAAACAGCCTGMGCTGCTTCGCAAAAAAAAAGTCTGCRCGTCACMTGTAGCTCAGAGATCAGCAACGTCTCCACCATTATTAAAACCTGTCGCAGGTCCATTCTGAGCTCAGAAGCTGTTTGTTTATGTTCATGACCAAAGTAAAACTTTTTTCTGTGTTTTCTTAGGGGAAGTTAACAACTCTGCACATGTCAGTGCTTCTATTCTGAATAAAAGCCTGGTGCATGTCAACACTCGTCATGATCAGATCGTGTCCATATAAACCATACATTCAAATTATTTAATCCGAATACATTTCAATCCCATCAAAGAATTTTATGCATGCAAACATAGTTTATGACAGCTTAACTCAACAGCTGTTTCTTGTTAAGATGAATATGTGTCTCTCACTGATATTAGCATATGTTGGCAGGTATGATGTAGGATTCTGATCATCTATTTGAAATTCTTTATATAATTATTAAATGTTTTAATTGGACAAAACTATTGAATTTTGTATGTGAATGTATGCAAATTGACAGTGATATTTATAAAATGTCCTGGGGGCTAAGCACCCTAAAGGTCAGATCATGGACTCACTCCTGACTCTAGAAGAGATTTTAATGAACATAACAGTGTATYTTGTATATTTTATCGCTAGAAGGCTCTCTAACCAGTGGTGGAGCCAGACATTTTTCTCAGGGGTGGCCAGACGGGGACCACTACTCACACAGGGGTGGCCAGACGGGGACCACTACTCACACAGGGGTGGCCAGACGGGGACCACTACTCACACAGGGGTGGCCAGGAAAATTACATCCTTTTTTACTTGAAAGTTTCTGCAGATCTTTGTGTTTTGTTCATTTCCTTATGTCCTTAGTACAGGCAGTGACTACCTTATAAACATGGGTGCAGAACCGTTTTGAAAGTG